GGCTGACTACAGGAAGCCTGAGGCAGAGTTGCTCTGCCCCGGGCTTCCTGGAATCAGCCGCTGATCAGTTTCAGCAGCAGCTGACTTGGGGATGCCTGGGTTTCTTAAGTTGAATCCATATGTAAGTCAGAACTGGCGTCCAGATTCAGCCGCTGTTGAAACTGATCAGTTTCAGCAGCGGCTGACGCCAGTTTCGACTTACATACAGATTCAACTTAAGAACAAACCTACAGTCCCTATCTTGTACGTAACCCGGGGGACTGCCTGTAAATCCTATTAAGCAACTGTATGCAGTTTCACTTCTTAAAACAACATGGGCAGGGGAGTGAACAAAATTACTTGTATAGCTTTCTCTCCCTTATCCCCAAACAATTTGTATTTCCTGTTAGGCATATGCAACCTCTCTGTATCTGATTAACTAACCTACACAGAAAGAACTACTTGAAAAGTACTATTCAATGCTTCCCCTATTGGTAAGGATTGTGAATAATTTTCTTATGAATGTGTTTGATGGGCTATGTGAAATGATCAGTCCAGTTCCTATTGAATCTAGCACAATAGATGATTCCGTCATTGGTGGTCTTTGCAGAGGCTGAAGATATATTGGGTGATAGAGACTGACCTAATTTTTCACTCCTAAAGGTCTTTGTCAGGGTTGAAACAATTAAGAATAGGTGAAACTTTTAATGCTACTGTCTTCTGTTTGACACAGAATTTCAAGCTTTTAATTCAGCATCTCTTCAGCAGTACATTTACTAAAATGTAAATTTTAAAATTTCCTTTTCAAAGTCAGGTACTTTCAAGTAGAATAAAATGTATCTAATATTTAGTTACATAGAGAATTTACTTCAAAAATGATCTAGAACTTTGCATCTTTCTAATATTTTAAAATATTTTATGTATAGCTAAACCTTTCCCCCCAAGGCCTAGATAAAATTCTTCTACTTAATATGAAAAGTTTTCCATGTAATCCATAATGCATATAGTATTACTTTTTAAATAAACTTTAAAACAGATTGAAATTAAAGCTCAGACAAGTGCAGGTCTTGAACTAGGGATGTTAGTGTATAGCCAGTTAAATGATTATCCAATAAGCCTGTATCGGAGGCAGCAAGGGAGTGGGGGAGGCGGGAGCTGACTTAAAGCACCAGGTGGGAGTTGTGGGTGGCAGGCGGGAGCTGGTCTGTATAAACTGGCTTTTTTAAATTGGCTCCCCTTTCCAGACTAGCTACCACCTGCCACCCTGTGCTGCTGCCTCTGATAGAGAGGTGGCAGTGGGCTCCAGGGAGCCAGGAGCACACTGGCTGCTAGTCCTGTCCCCAGGAGTATTTTAGTAACTGTATAACGGCAAATATTTGTTGTGGTTACACGATTACTAAAATACACAATATCTAACATCCCTATGTAGAACAAGATGTTAAATCCCTAATTTAAGTTGTGAACTTCCCATTTATATGTCTGATGACTAGTCTACATTTACGAAAGCCTATAGTGGAAACTTGCAATCCCGCTTCATTAAAATTATTTTAAAAATACCCTTTTCACAAGATTACATTGGACAAGCACTTCAGTACAGCTAAGGAGGGAAAGATGACATTTGTTCATAGGAAGGTCAGTGGTGCTCTGGAGACAGATGCATTGTTAAATGAAATGCACTTGGTATGACAGTGATATGACTAGGTATATGTCCATGCATGTCTTATCGTTACTTTCAGCAAATTTATCAAAGAAACTAATAGGAGCGGAAAAGGTCTTTCCTTACCAATGCTGAACTGTTGTCTATAGTGCATGATTTGTAATGATACCCAGTTTAATGTAACTGTCCAAACCATTCCCTAAGTTACCCCAGTTATTCAAAATAAATTATTTTGAAAAAATTCAAGTGTCATTTGGCAAAATTTGATTTGTCCTTTTCATATGTGTTCATTTTTTTAATTGTATCCTTTGGTATATATGGTTGTGACAATTTTCTTCCACTATTTGATCTGAGGAAGTGGGTCTGGCCCACGAAAGCTCATCACCTATTAAATCGTCTTGTTAGTCTTTAAAGTGCTACATAGTCCTGTTTTTTATTTGGCAAAAAGTGATGTAAACATGAAGCTTGACACAACCACACACAATGTTTTAGATGTGCTATTGCAGGCAGAAAACGAATACATGTTGTGGAGCAGGCAACAGGTGTTTGAAATCTGTTAAGTGGTTAGCAGTGGCCCAGGTGCTTTCATTTCTTTTTAGTAAAGATTCTTGTGGTTAATGCATAGATTTGCACTATGGTTGAATCTAGCTTGGATTCTCGTCCCTGCTCTGCAAAACTGGAGTTGTTAACAACCTATAGGTTATTTATCTTCTCAGTGACTCCATCATGGAGAAGGAATGTGGGGGTAATTGCTATTTTTGCACATGGATGTTTGGCTACATTAATGTTTATGAAACCATTTTATATCTTTAAACAGGGGGGATTTTTAAGTGCTAATCATACTCTGCAAAATATTTTTTTAAATTTCATGTTCCTTAAAGATTTAACAAGCTTTCTCCTTAATGCTCCCATGTCATCTTGGGATCCTAACTTCACCATTATTTATTTTGTTCTGGATTGTAGTACTACATAGTGCTGACACCCTATTCTCTGTCCAAAACTAGTGTTTATGAAGAGCTATGTTCTTAAGATGAAAGAAATTACCAAGCCATCAGACTTGGAAATATGTCATCTTTACAAAAGTACTAGTCACTGTGTGGTATCTGTATGAAAGCAGACGAGTTCTGCAAAAGTTCCATAGAATATGCTTTTGCTTAATATAATACTGTTACACTAATTAGTATAGGAAAATGCAGTGGTGTTTTTTTAATTAGCACTCTAATTGTCAAGTTTTATTTTTTTAGCCCATGACTTGTAAAACTAGAATGAAATGCAATTTGATTATTAGGCCTTTGTCTGTCACTTACCATTCAGGTGAAACTCCCATTTAGCTCCCTTTCCTCTGAGAGCAGAACTAGGTCTAAATGTTGTCCCAATAACAAAGATAGGTATTTAAGTCCTGTTTTTTTCCTTAGCATTCTTGAACCCCTCACTCAAGCAAGAGAGCCCACTGATTTCTTTACTTGCTTCTGTTTTTGTCTTGCATTTTTTTTATGAATCCCTTAACCACTGTGGTGTCAACTTGTCTGTCAGTTAAAGAGTCCTGTAACTGGCATTCTGATAATATTGAATATATGGCAATTTAATTTTTTTTTTCAGATGATCCTGCTGCATGGGCAGTATTAATGGGTGCTTGTCATGCTGAAAATACTCTTGTCTGTTTGAACAACACGCAGCCTAAGAGAACAGACTTAGAAATGACACTTGTGGCCACAGTTTCAGCTAAAAGTAAGTTAGCTCCCTTGGATTGTCATACTTAATTATTATTAAAAAAATTTCCTCTTAGAAGTTTGTGGGTTTTCTTCTTGTAGCCCTGTTAGTATTAACCTAAAGAAAATTTCCTAGAAAAACAACACTGGCTTACATTAGTCAAATGCAGGCAAGTTAGTGGCTTTCAAGCAACAGATATTCTTAATATTAAAAAATTCTTATGTTTACAGTCAAGGGCATTGCCATGTATTTTACTTATTACTTATAAACTATCATGTCCCTACACACAGTTTTTTGCTTAGCTTGAGTTAAATAATGGATGGCTAATGACAATCTTACAGGGAAAATGTCTTAACTATATGATAGTACCCTTCACCGTGAGCCAAAGAGGCCTAACTACTCCTTATTTCTATTTCTAATATGTGTATGGATGGCCACTGTCTCTTTATAGGGTTGGAGCTCATCTCCACTTACACTACACTTAGTTTACATGGGAGAGTGAGTGAATAAAAGGGTTGTGTGATGGGGATCATGTGACTCAATACCATGCATACTGGGAGACAGAAAGGCAGCCTGCCTTTGGATCATTCAGTGAGTACAGACATGGAAATAAGTGCTTTACTCAAATCTTACAAAAAACAGGAAGAACATCCAGGAGCGGGTTAATGAGGATGTCTAGGTTGGGTAACTCTCCAGAGCTCCTAGGTAGAAGGCCTGGGAGACAAACAAGCAAGTAGCAGGGGCCAGCCAGAAGAAGCAGCTCCGCTAGATGGCCTAAAACCTGTATTAAGGATGGTGAGCCAGCAGAAAAGACTGGATGGTAGATTTGTGTTTTGGGAGTCTGATTTACTAACAAATCAGAAGAGGAGAGTTAGTGAAACCACCCACAGCATGAAGCCTGATTTAACTGGAAGGAAATAGGAACTGAGCCAGTAGCAGATTCGGAAGCCACACCAGATAAGCCCTACTACTATTCTACAAAGAAACAGAAAACACATCTCCTCGGGCCTCAAGTTAAAGTTCCAGCTTTTCTGCCTTGTCCCTCTATGGCTCCTGAATCCAGTCCTTTCGAAATGGTCACCAGTGTCAGTAGTGCATCAGTCCATTTTATGAAGTGGGACCAGCCTAGAATACCACAGTCACAATACCATAGTGAAGTTATGTGTAGAATTCACAGCACTGTCTAAAAATGGTATAATTATAGTGTGAGTGGTCATTCTCTGACTATTCATTCCAAATTTTTAAAAAGTGACAGTGTTCTTTGGCTTTCTATGAATATTTTATCAAACAACTTTTCTAAGAAAAATATTCAGAGTGACTTAACTAAATTAGGGATGTGAAAGGTTAACTGGTTAAAGGGTGATGCTTACCGGTACTGTGTAACTTGGGGAGATGGGCTTCTCCCCCACGTACTGCAGGCAGGGGACTGCTCCAACCCTGTGAGGCCTGCAGTAGACAAGGGTGTGCCAGCCCTCCTGGAGCAGCCACTCTCTGTGGCAAGCCTGTGTGTGCCACAAACAAGGGCTGCTCCAAGCATCCGGGCCACTTCAGCTTAGGCAGGCTGGAGCAGCCCTCCCACCCATTCTCCCTTTAATTGCTTAACCAGTTAAACATCATGTTTAACTGGTAACTAATTAAACAGGATTTTACATCCCTAAACCAAATAGTGAAATATATGTTGAACAAAACTTTTGAACTTATAAACAGCAGCAACTATACCAGCAATCGGATTCTCAGCCTGGGGCAGGCAATAACAGTGGTTATTAACCACTGTTATTGCCTTTGCAGACCACTGCCACTATATTTACCTGCCCCTCTGCAGGTACAGGCAGTTGTAACTCCTATTGGCCACAAATTGGCATTCCTTGGCAATGGGAGCTGCAGGGAGTGGCACGGACCAGGACACCAGTTCTCACATTCTCCCTGGCCAGGAATGATTGTCTGCAGCAACAGGAGCTGCAGTCGCCTGAACCTGCAGAGGCTCAGGTAAATATAATGGCAGGGGGC